ATATATATAAAAGTTGCAACTTTTGCATAGTCAAATTATTTTGTTACTAAACATTGCGAATATTTATTGAGAGGTGCAGCCGCCGAGGTCAGAGGTTAAATAAAGCCTGCCCTCCCTGCTGGCCGCTGCCGCCGACCCTACGTGCCCAGGTGTAATATTCTTGCCAGTTAACAATTCACTATGCAAACACACACACCAAAACCTATCAAACGAAATCGCTTGAATCTCCAAACTTGTAGACCTGAGACGCCCTTAGAAGGTGGGAGCAGCGAGCATAACTTAAGACTGAGATTCCGCGCGTCTGGGCAAGCTCTCACGCACGCACACAGGCTGACACACACACACACACACACACACACACACACACACACACACACACGCACGCACACGCACGCACACGCACGCACACGCACGCACACACACGCACACGCACACACACGCACGCGCGCACGCGCACACACACGCACGCACACACACACACTCGTTTCTAGCCATCAATTCTTAAACAACAAAATATAAAATCTTAATTGTCATTTACACAAAAAAAATTATTGAATGGGAGAAATGTAGGAGGTGGCTGTCATGAGGTGGGCCGAGCCCTGGGCCACAACCCGTTCTCGCACTTGCTTAAAGTCAATATTGGCTTATTTAATAAGTGCATATGTGACATACTAATTGATTGTGAATATTTTAGTTTACCTTGAAAAGCTTCATAGAAAACACCGACCTCACCTAACCTTCTTAGTATGTTAAGATAAGCATCTTATTGCTTCTTAATTACAATTATTACTTAACCTACGTTGATAGGTTAAGTAATAATTGTAAATAAGAAGCAATAAGAAGCTTATCTTAACATACTAAGAAGGTTAGGTGAGGTCGGTGTTTTCTATGAAGCTTTTCAAGGTAAACTAAAATATTCACAATCAATTAGTATGTCACATATGCACTTATTAAATAAGCCAATATTGACTTTAAGCAAGTGCGAGAACGGGTGGGCCGAGCCCCTGGGCCGAGCCACTCTTGCTTTCAATACCTACGAAACAGGTATACACACCACCACCAAAATTGCAACAGGAAAAAAAACCCTCATTTTGAACACAGGAGTCACTTTTGGAGGTCAAGAGGTCAGGAGCGAAAGAGGGCGAGTGTCATGAACGATACACCAGCACTGCTGGCCTGGGTCAGAGGTCAAGTTGGCACTAGCCCATTTTCAGTAGTTATATGCATGCATTACTTGAAAGGTCAAAGGTTACGGGTCGAAGGTGGGGGAGTTTCCTTAGTTGTCCTGCCTCTCCCTACACCACTTCTGAGGTTGGGCTTTGACCCTCTTTACCGTTGGGTTGAGCTCTGGCTCTTTGGTCCCGCCTCTCAGCTGTCAATATCAACTGGTGTACAGGTTCCTGAGCCTATTGGGCTCTATCATATCTACATTTAAAACTGTGTATGGAGTCAGCCTCCACCACATCACTGCCTAATGCATTCCACCTGTTAACTACTCTGACACTTAAAAAAAAATTCTAATGACTTTATGGCTCATTTGGGCACTCAATTTCCCCTAGTGCGTGTGCCCCTTGTGTTAAAGATACTGTCTTTGTCTACCCTATCAATTCCCTTGAGAATCTTGAACGTGGTGATCATGTCCCCCCTAACTCAATTTCTTTACCCGCGTAGTCGTAGTACCCGCAACGTTATAGTCACGTTGTGATAAAGTTGTGGCAAACCTTATTGTAACGTAAAAAAAAAAAAATGCCGTTGCGTCGAGTATAAATCTGATATCAGCAGCGTCTGCAAGGTTGGCAAACACCAGGACCGCTTAAGAACTCTGAATAAGGAGACGTTCAGGTACTCAGTACATTTGTGCACGATGCGTGCAAGAAGAGTATGCTATACCAGCGCCTCCCCCCCCCCCCCGCCTCACCTTTACTTAACTAAGCACACAAACACACACACGACCTGCCCAGAGAGAGTTGACTTCCTCCATAAGGGAATCCAAAGCTTGTCTGATTTAATGCCCAACCCCAGCAAACACAGCGCCTTCCCCCCCCCCCCGACCAACCACAGCGCCCGCCTGCCTCGACCAACCACAGCGCCTCAAGCCTCGACCAATCACAGCGCCTCCCTGCCTCGACCAATCACAGCGCCCCCCCTGCCTCGACCAATCACAGCGCCCCCCCTGCCTCGACCAATCACAGCGCCCCCCCTGCCTCGACCAATCACAGCGCCCCCCTGCCTCGACCAATCACAGCGCCCCCCCTGCCTCGACCAATCACAGCACCCCCCCTGCCTCGACCAATCACAGCGCCCCCCCTGCCTCGACCAATCACAGCGCCCCCCCTGCCTCGACCAATCACAGCGCCCCCCCTGCCTCGACCAATCACAGCGCCCCCCCTGCCTCGACCAATCACAGCGCCTCAAGCCTCGACCAATCACAGCGCCTCAAGCCTCGACCAATCACAGCGCCCTCCTACCTCGACCAATCACAGCGCCCTCCTGCCTCGACCAATCACAGCGCCCCCTGCCTCGACCAATCACAGCGCCTCAAGCCTCGATCAATCACAGCGCCCCTGGCCTCGACCAATCACAGCGCCCCTGGCCTCGACCAATCACAGCGCCCCCTGCCTCGACCAATCACAGCGCCCCCTGCCTCGACCAATCACAGCGCCCCCTGCCTCGACCAACCACAGCGCCCCTGGCCTCGACCAATCACAGCGCCCCCCTGCCCTGCCTCGACCAACCCCAGCAAACACAGCAGCCCGTCCTCCTAAGGTTCCCCAACGTCAAGAAACTGTGGTACTAAAGTGCCACCTTATCCTAACCAACCAGAGGACCCAAAACAGAAAACGGGACAATACACCAATTTCGCGAGACGCTGCCATTTTCTAGTACGGTAATTTTTGGCGTTAAGTCTGTTTTTTTTTCAAGACAGTCACGAGTCTTATTGCAAATCTTGGAACATTTTAAACTTTTTGGTTCGTTGTGGTTACCTTGTGATGGTTTCGGGGCTTAGCGTCCCCGCGGCCCGGTCATCGCCCAGGCCTCCTGGTTGCTGGACTGATCGACCAGGCTGTTGGACGCGGCTGCCCGCAGCCTGACGTATGAACCACAGCCTGGTTGAATAGAAGCCACCTCTGGGGGCTCCAAGCGAGGCCCTCCAACCCTGGGGGTGGGTTGGGCCCCTGGGGGTGGGTTGGGCCCCCCCCTGGGGTGGGTGGGGCCCCTCCATGGGGGTGGGTTGGGGCCCCTCTGGGGGTGGGTTGGGGGCCCCCCAGGGGGTGGGTTGCCCACAGAACACAGGGGCCAAGATACTCTGCTGTAATTAAAGAGCTCCCACTACGTGTTAAGTCGATAAGACGACCTTCAATTAGACAACTGCCTGTCGTTTATTGATTGCAGGTGTGGCTGGTGCACGTGTGTGGCTGGTGCACGTGTGGGGCTGGTGCAGGTGTGTGGCTGGTGCACGTGTGTGGCTGGTGCACGTGTGTGGCTGGTGCACGTGTGTGGCTGGTGCACGTGTGTGGCTGGTGCACGTGTGGGGCTGGTGCACGTGTGGGGCTGGTGCACGTGTGGGGCTGGTGCATCATGCATGCGTGGGCGGCCAATCGACGTAGGAGCCACACACTTCCAGTCAGCTAACGCCACTATCAACGCCATTCTACGTTACCATTGAGGCAACGGAGGATGCAGAAAGCCCCAAGAGCCTCCATGCCATCAATCCATCAACCCGGGAAGAGCCTCACCGTGCGGCGGAGACAGGCGTCGATGCGCGGGTCATTAACATGCGCAGTGCGTGGTGTGTACAAGGGGGGTGACGGCGTGGCTGGCTCCCTGGCCTATCACTAAGGCCTAGATGAAGCCACCTCGCCCTTCCCCGTGAGGTGATAAGCTGGCGAGAATAATGAGGCGTCGAGTAAGGCCCTCAATGGGCAAGGGATAGGTCATGGGAGGGGGTGAGGATAGGCGCGGTGCGGGTCTAGGTGAGGCTAGATGAGGGGGGTTGAGTGAGGCACCGGGTGAGGCACCGGGTGAGGCACCGGGTGAGGCACCAGGTGAGGCACCAGGTGAGGCACCAGGTGAGGCACCGGGTGAGGCGGCCTCCAAACACTTCGGAATGCTGCCTCTAATTAACTGGCTTGAGTTGGGTCGGGTGACAGTCTGTTCAGAACACCTCAGCGCATTCCAGACTCCTAGGCTTAAACACCCCCTCTAACTCCTTCCCTAGAAGGGGGGGAGGGGGTGATTGTCAATGGCCAAGTCAAGCCCTAAAGTCAAGCCCGAGGCCAAGCTTGACTTGTGAGAGCTTGGTCCACCAGGCTGTTGCTTGGAGCGGCCCGCAGGCCCACATACCCACCACAGCCCGTTTGGTCCGGCACTCCTTGGAGAACATGATCTAGTTTCCTCTTGAAGATGTCCACGGTTGTTCCGGCAATATTTCTGATACTCGCTGGGAGGATGTTGAACAGCCGCGGACCTCTGATGTTAGCTGGCTTGGGTGGTTGGATGGATGTATGAAAGGATGACTATGGCTGGATGAATGCATGGATGAAGGTTAAACGGCTAGCAGGAAGTTGGTGAGGATTTGTCCGGCTGGATAGTAAGATGAACAACTGGCTGATGAACACGGAAGATGAACACGCTCCTGGAAATAATTCCTGTACACAGCTGTTCAACACCCTGCCAGCAAGCATTAGAAATATTGCCGGAACGAAGGTGGAGGTATTCAAGAGGCACTTGGACAGGTTCTTGCAAAAAGTGCTGGATCAACCGGGCTGTAGTGGGCCTGCGGGCCGCTCCAAGCAACAGCCTGGTGGACCAAGTTATCACAAGACGAGCCTGGCCTCAGGGAGTAACATTCCACCTTCCATGGGAGATTACATTCCACCTACCATGGGAGATTACATTCCACCTACCATGGGAGATTACATTCCACCTACCATGGGAGATTACATTCCACCTACCATGGGAGATTACATTCCACCTACCGTGAGAGATTACATTCCACCATGGGAGATTACATTCCACCTACCGTGAGAGATTACATTCCACCTACCAAGGGAGATTACATTCCACCTACCATGGGAGATTACATTCCACCTACCATGGGAGATTACATTCCACCTACCATGGGAGATTACATTCCACCTACCATGGGAGATTACATTCCACCTACCATGGGAGATTACATTCCACCTACCATGGGAGATTACATTCCACCTACCGTGAGAGATTACATTCCACCTACCATGGGAGATTACATTCCACCTACCATGGGAGATTACATTCCACCTACCATGGGAGATTACATTCCACCTACCGTGAGAGATTACATTCCACCTACCATGGGAGATTACATTCCACCTACCATGGGAGATTACATTCCACCTACCATGGGAGATTACATTCCACCTACCATGGGAGATTACATTCCACCTACCATGGGAGATTACATTCCACCTACCATGGGAGATTACATTCCACCTACCGTGAGAGATTACATTCCACCTACCATGGGAGATTACATTCCACCTACCATGGGAGATTACATTCCACCTACCATGGGAGATTACATTCCACCTACCGTGAGAGATTACATTCCACCTACCATGGGAGATTACATTCCACCTACCATGGGAGATTACATTCCACCTACCATGGGAGATTACATTCCACCTACCATGGGAGATTACATTCCACCTACCGTGAGAGATTACATTCCACCTACCATGGGAGATTACATTCCACCTACCATGGGAGATTACATTCCACCTACCGTGAGAGATTACATTCCACCTACCATGGGAGATTACATTCCACCTACCATGGGAGATTACATTCCACCTACCATGGGAGATTACATACCACTCCACCAGGTGGCTCACTCCTCCCACCTACCATGGGAGGTTACTCCACCAGGTGACCCGTCCGCCCCCTCCCACCAAACCCTTCACTCCATATATGTCTGGTAGTGAAAACATTATGTATGGCTTTCCACACACACACACACACACACACACACACACACACACACACACACACACACACACACACACACACACACACACACACACACACATACACACACATACACACACATACACACACCACCTCACCGGCGCCCTCTACACTACACCTCCAGCAGGTATACCGCCAGCCACACCCACTCCAAGTATCCCTCTTGCTGGTATACACCCCCCCCCCAAGCCACCGGTACACTCATCCCAGTACTCCTAGCACGGCAGGGGGTAGATGCCTACAAAATAAATATTCGCGATAGATACCTGGAGAAAATGTAAACTTTTGTCCCGTCACCCCAAGCACTTTGACTGGACGGTAGAGCGACGGGTCTCGTTTCATGCAGGTCGGCGTTCAATCCCCGACCGTCCACAAGTGGTTGGGCACCATTCCTTCCTTCCCGTCCCATCTCAAATCCTTATCCCGAGCCCTTCCAAGTGCTATATAGTCGTAATGGCTATGTGTGTGTGTGCGTGTGAATTCCCCTAGATGTGCCTGCATGGTGGAGCTAGGCTCCCGGCCCCGCCTTCCCAACGTTATTAATGCAATGAGTCATTTTCCAATTTCCCATTTCATTCCCACGGGCTCACCATAGCCCGTGCTACTTAGAACTTCTTGTTCCAAGTAGCGAATCTTTAACCACAACAATGACTCATTTCTCGCCCTATTATCATATTTACATTCAAAATATTTTCCCTCTAATTAGCCTTAATGACTTCAACACCAAACCTGCTCCAATTATTGACATCTCGAACGATTTATTTAAAAGTTCTTTCTGACGTGTGTGAGAAATGGTCCATCATAACCCCGTGTTAAAGAACAGGAACAGCTCGTCTAACCTAACGAAGCCAACGCCCATTACAGCATTCCAAATTACAGCAACACCACCAAACATTTCACTACAGTACAGCTGGCCTGAAATGCCCTGTTTAACGGCTAAAGAATATGGGAGAGTAGCGAATGAGGTATGGAATAGGGAAGACATGGGAGGGGGGAGGAGAATGAGAGGTTTGGAGAGATGGGAGAGGGAAGAACAGCAGTCGTCTGTTCCTGTACCCACCTGTGTGGAAAATAAAAAAGGGGGAAAGGGGGGGGGGCAATGGTGTTAACAAATAGGAGGGAGGAGGAGGAGGAGGAGGAGAAGAGAGCGAGAGAACTCACAGAAGAGAAGCCATCGCAAGAAGGAGACAGAGAGAGAGACAAATACACCCGCGAATAAGGGAGGGATGGAGATAGAATGGGAGGGAGAGGGGGCGATAGAGGGAGGGAGGGAGGAGCCCGGGGCAGTGGGGCACACACCTCACGACTCACACACACACAGCCTCATCACCATGCACCCGGGATCACTGCACAAACGCTACGACACCTTACACAGGACCAGTCCTGTGCAGGGATAATCCTCCCCCCAGCAGGAGTATATCAGGTTACCACGAGGCTCCTGACGAGACACTGACAACAGGTGTGGCTTGTGTTCCACACCTGCCCCAACGCCACACCATCACCTAACACCATCACCCAGCACCAGCACCCAGGGAGGAGGAGCGACTACCATGGGGGGAGGAGCGACTACCATGGGGGGAGGAGCGACTACCATGGGAGAAGTTGCGACTACCATGGGAGGAGAGACTACAATGGGAGAAGGAGCGACTACCATGGGATAAAGAGAGACTGCCATGGGAGAAGAGGTCAGGAGGGAAGCCTGATGTAGGCAAGAGGTCGCGTGCACCGGTACAGGGCGGGCCAGAGGGGTAGCACTGGAGCTCCTCTGGAACACTGCTCCAGTGCTACTGGGCTCCAGTAGCACTGGAGCATCCGGCTGGGGGCTCTACGGGGTGTAGGAGCGGCCGGACTGTTCCAGGACTACCATAGCCCGCTCCCACTCCCCCCTCCTTCCCAGCACCCCCTTCCAGGATATGTCATGCTCTTCCACCAGTCTTCCAGGACAGACTTGTGGGGACCCCACACACAGGCTTGGCCGGGACCCGCCCGGGACCCCACACACAGGCCTGGGACCCGCCCGGGACCCCACACACAGGCCTGGGACCCGCCCGGGACCCCACACACAGGCCTGGGACCCGCCCGGGACCCCACACACAGGCCTGGGACCCGCCCGGGACCCCACACACAGGCCTGGGACCCGCCCGGGACCCCACACACAGGCCCAACACCGTTATCAGTGAACTGTTCTATTGGATCTACACTACCGCCTTGCATCAGACAAGTACCATGGCCACTCTCCCTCTTCCCACTTTTCCTTTACAGGGAAAGGGGGAGAAGTATGGGGAGGGGGGGGGGAAGTTACTGGGAGAGGGGGAGAGGGGAAGGGGGAGAGGGGAAGGGGGAGAGGGGAAGGGGGAGAGGGGGAGGGGGAGAGGGGGAAGAGCAGCAAGGGCCATATTGAAGCCTGTCAGCTGCTGACGTCAGCAAAGGTGTCAGAGGCAGAAATTCCCGCACTTCCTCACGTGGTCGCTAATCCTCAAGACGACATCTTGCCACGCTACCTACCTGACCTCTTCCAGGATCAAAGCCCCCGCGGCCCGGTCTCCGACCAGGCCTTCCCGGTTGGTCGTCTGATCACCCTGGCTGTTCGACGCGGCTGCTCGCAGCCTGACGTATGAATTACCTGTGTTGACCAGGTGTTATTTGGAGGTGTTTGTTGAGTTCTCACCTGTTCTCGCTTCATGCAGGTCGGCGTTCAATCCCCGACCGTCCACAAGTGGTTGGTCACCATTCCTTCCCCCCCCCCCCGTCCCAGCCCAAATCCTTATCCCTTCTCAGTACTATATTCTTTCACACTAATGCCCCTTGTTACCTAGCAGTAAATAGGTACCTGGGAGTTAGACAGCTGTTACGGGCTGCTTCCTGGGGGCTGGAGGCCTGGTCGAGGACCGGGCCGCGGGTACACTAAGCCCCGAAATCATCTCAAGATAGTGGAGTAGCCACTAGGTCTAGTCCAAGAACGAAGAGGCAAGAGTTGAGAGGAAAGGCTGCGATAAATGCACCTCGCGACGTTGGAAGACAGAAGAGTAAGGGGAGACATGATCCCTACCTACAAGATTCTCAGAGGAATTGACAGGGTGGATAAAGATAAACTGTTTAAGACTGGTGGGACGCGAACAAGGGGACACACAGGTGGAAACTGAGTGCCCACATGAGCCACAGAGTCAGTAGAAAGAACTTTGCCAGTGTCAGAGTAGTTAACAGGTGGAATGCATTAGGCAGTGATGTGGTGGAGGCTGACTCTATACACAGTTTTAAATGTAGATATGATAGAGCCCAGTAGGCTCAGGAACCTGTACACCAGTTGAGAGGCGGAACCAAAGAGCCAGAGCTCAACCACAGCCCACCACCACACCAACAACGCCGCCCTCCACAGCCCACCACCACACCAACAACGCCGCCCTCCACAGCCCACCACCACACCAACAACGCCGCCCTCCACAGCCCACCACCACACCAACAACGCCGCCCTCCACAGCCTACCACCACACCAACAACGTCCCCGTTAATAACCACCTGCCGTTGTTACTGAGTTACCCGTTGAACACTGAGTCCTACCTGTCAGTGCGGGGCGGTGACCAGTCAGCTCTGCTAATCCTCGCAAACTGGATACACACTGACACTCAAATCAAGATAACATTTGATATCTGCACTCAACACTGTCGCTACACTTAAGAGGTAACACGAAAGTTCACGAATGCTCAGCGGGAACCAAGCTGCCATTCGTGGTCCGCCATCGTCGTTATCAGCACGGACGACACTACGAAACACTTATGTACACCTGATAACGTTCGTAGGAGTCAAGATTGTGTCGGAAGACTGGCTGGCATATGCATCTTGCGGTCACCTCACAGCCTCCTCTTAGGTTAATCACTATCTTCAACAGCCTCAAGGCTGATCACAGCATCCGTTTAACTAGAGATTTCCAGGCACTTGACGCGAGGATACGAGGCTTCAAGATGGGTCACACGTACGTCAGAGAGTGAGTATGAGGGAGCTAGGAGACACAGGATGAGGCTAGAGAGCCAGGAGCTCCACGTAGCTGATCCTCACTGGCAGGTGGCGAGGGTCGAACTGTGTTCACCCAGGCACACACACACACACACACACACACACACACACACACACACACACACACACACACACACACACACACACACACACCTGCCCTCCCCCAATAACCAAGCCACTAGGAGCCATCATCCCAGCACTACAGTAGTGTAGTTGATACAACACCACTATACACCCTTGACCTACATCCCATACACCAACATATCCAACATTGCCACCACCTGAGAGCCGCTCGGTGATGTATTTATACACCAGTGTGTGTATGTGTGTATTTACTTGGCCGTGAACTCAGCCGAGTGAGCCAAGCACTCGGTACCCAGACAATATGTTTAGAATGTAAATATTGTGTGTCCCGGGTATTAATAGATGGGTCTAGGACTGGCGGTGTTGTCAGGTGGGGTCTGGCCAGCGGCACTCGTCTGGTGGGCCACACTGTTGGCTGCTCCTGGTTACCCCATGCATGCTGCTACACGCAAACTCACTCAATCTCTCGCACGCACGCACTCTCTTCTCTCCCCCCTCTCTCTCTCTCTCTCTCTCGTTGAAACTAATTCCATTCAACATTGAAAATGTAAATATGAAAAAAAGCTTGAGCAATGAGTCATTGCATTAATCTAAGAACGTTCAGAAGGTGGGGCCAGGAGCCTAGCTCTGCTTGATGGGGTTCTGGGAGTTCTTCTACTCCTGAAGCCCGGCCCGAGGCCAGGCTTGACTTGTGAGAGCTTGGTCCACCAGGCTGTTGCTTGGAGCGGCCCGCAGGCCCACATATACCTGCTTGATGGGGTTCTGGGAGTTGTTCTACTCCCCAAGCCCGGCCCGAGGCCAGGCTTGACTTGTGAGAGTTTGGTCCTTGCAAACGCATCTAGGTGAATACACCAGAAGA